TGTGCTGATAAAGTCTCTCTTTATTTATTTATCAGCACAAATACAACATATATATATGTGTAGTATTTGTGCTGATAAATATTTGTGCTGATTATATGTATGTATGTATGTATGTATGTATATGTATATATATGTGTGTGTGTGTGTGTGGATGTATGTATGTATGTATGTATATATTAGATTTTTTTACAACCCCCGGTATGCCCAAATATGGGAGGAAGCTAACTGCTTCCATTCTCTGTCCATCGGCTCGTCACAAGAGACCATCCAGACAGAAACCCAATATTTTTACTGTTGCCTTTTGTGACATTTGTGTTGTATTTGTGCTGATAAAGTCTCTCTTTATTTATTTATCAGCACAAATACAACATATATATATGTGTAGTATTTGTGCTGATAAATATTTGTGCTGATATGTATGTATGTATGTATGTATGTATGTATATGTATATATGTGTGTGTGTGTGTGTGTGTGGATGTATGTATGTATGTATGTATATATTAGATTTTTTTACAACCCCCGGTATGCCCAAATATGGGAGGAAGCTAACTGCTTCCATTCTCTGTCCATCGGCTCGTCACAAGAGACCATCCAGACAGAAACCCAATATTTTTACTGTTGCCTTTTGTGACATTTGTGTTGTATTTGTGCTGATAAAGTCTCTCTTTATTTATTTATCAGCACAAATACAACACACACACATATATATAAAACTCCTCCCATAAATTCACGACACTTTTCCCCAGTAACGTTAAAGACTGAACGCCCCACTGCAGGGAATCAAGTGTGGCTGCTGGCAGAATCTGCTGATGGCCTCAATTTGCCTTCCAGAATCTGCAGCCCTTCCGATGTTGCTGAGCCAGCATTAGGCAACACGGAATCTGCTCGTGAGTGGGGGCGGCTGGAGCTGTTGCCAAGCTACAGCTGAGAGGGCAGAAGGGCCCTTTCCTTTCAGCGGAAAATTTGTTTAGCGCTGGGTGTTCAGTGCTAGGTGACCTCCGGTTGGGCCCTGAAAGGTCTACAAGAAAACAACCAGAGAGGACCAAGTCCTTCTCCTCCTCCTCTTCCTCTTTCCCTTTCCCTTCCTCTTCCTCCCACAGCCTGCTTCTAGCAGTAATGCCGTTACCTATTTGGGTAATGAAACATACGCGAGGAAGCAACCAAGCTCAGAGAGCACCCAGTCCTCCTCCTTGCCTTCCTCCTCCTCCTCCTCCTCCTCCTTTACACCCTACTTCCTTTTAGCACTGATGCTGTTATCTATTTGGGTAATGAAACATCTGCAAGAAAACAACCAAGCTCTCAGAGGACCAAATCGTCCTTGTCTTCCTCCTCGTCTTCCTCTTTCTCCTCCTCCACATCCTACTTCCTTCTAGCACTGATGCTGTTACCTATTTGGGTTGCAAAATATCAGCAAGAAAACAACCAAGCTCAGAGAGGACCAAATCCTCCTCCTCGTCTTCCTCCTCTACCTCCTCCTCCTCCTCCTTTACACCCTACTTCCTTCTAGCACTGATGCTGTTACCTATTTGGGTAATGAAACATTTGCGAGGAAACAACCAAGCTCAGAGAGGACCAGATCCTCCTCCTTGTCTTCCTCCTCCTGCTCCTCCTCCTCCTTTGTACCCTACCTCCTTTTAGCACTGATGCTGTTATCTATTTGGGTAATGAAACATCTGCAAGAAAACAACCAAGCTCAGAGAGCACCAAATCCTCCTCCTTGTCCTCCTCCTCCTTTACACCCTACTTCCTTCTAGCACTGATGCTGTTATCTATTTGGGTAATGAAACATCTGCAAGAAAACAACCAAGCTCAGAGAGCACCAAATCCTCCTCCTTGTCCTCCTCCTCCTCCTCCCCCATACCCTATTTCTTTCTAGCACTGATGCTGTTACCTATTTGGGTTGCAAAATATCAGCAAGAAAACAACCAAGCTCAGAGAGGACCAAGTTCCCCCCCTCCTCCTCTTTCTCCTCCTCCTCCTCCCCCCACCCCCTACTTCTAGCACTGATGCTAGTAACCCACAATTTGGGTTACAAAACACCTGCAAGAAAACAACCGAGCTCACAGACCCACAATGATCCCACAGTATTGAGCCCTCTTTGCCAAGGTCATCCGCTACAGGTTTGCCAAAACCTGTGACAGGCGTGTGTGCGTGCTTGCCAGCATCAAAAATGAGTAAAAATCCACATTTACGGTGAATTTGGAGCATGTGATGCTCCCCTCCCCTGGTTTCTTATCTTCTGCACCTTCTTGGTTTCTTTCAGCGATGAACCAGTGGCTGATATAGAAGGCCACACAGTGAGAGTGGCCCGGGTCACATGGCATCCCTCTGGCAGATTTTTGGGCACCACATGGTAAGAAGGTCCCTCTCTCTTTCTCCCTCTGCTAAATGGGGGTGGGGGGGGAAGAGGATTGAAATTGTCACTGCCCAGCTAGCTGAAGATTCTGGGATTTGTGGTCTCGCGGCATCCAGAGGGGCAACCTGTTGAGGAAAGGTGGTATCTATAATTCTTCCTAAGCTAGTTCTAGAGTCCTTAGCTCTTATATACCGCTTCACAGTGCTTTTACAGCCCTCTCTAAGTGGTTTACAGAATCAGCCTCTTGCCCTCCAACAATCTGGGTCCTCATTTGACCCACCTCGGAAGGATGGAAGGCTGAGGCAACCTTCAGCTGGTCAGGATCGAACTCCCAGCTTTGTGGGCAGAATTAGCCCACTGTAGTGCATTCTAACCACTGCGGCACCATGGTTCAGATCTAGATAGAGTGGGGAGACAGAAAAAGAGAACACACAGAGAGAGAGGTGAGACGATTGATGAGAGAGGATAAATAGACAGACTGATAGATAGATATATGCAGATTAGGTAGATAGGTGGGTAGGTAGATAGCTAATGTAGATTAGGTGGGGGGATGGATAAATATAGAGAGAGAGATAATAAATGGATGGGGAAAGGGAGAGATACTGGTTGGAGAAGCAGATAATGGATAGATAGAGGATGGATGGT